CTTAAGAGAGTTTGCAGAACTCGGGTACCAAGGAACATCTGTCCATCTGTGGCCGTCGTGTCATCGTGGGTGTGCAATCAGAAAGACGTGAGTGAGGGAAGGGTTTCTTGATGAACAGTGTTGTTAGCTCTTTTTAAAGAAAAGAGCAAGTGAGATGAACTCTATAGCTTAGCATCCCGGCTAGAGCACGGAAGAAAATAATTTTTCATCAATGTGATGTTACTATTGCTTTTTTAAAAAATGATTAGCAGTGAAATCAGAGTGAGGGAGAAAGATTGCCTGGATATGAATTCTGGCTCTACTACCTCCGGGAAGGAGTAAATCACTTCTTTGTGCCTCAGTTTCTGCCTTTGTAAAACAAAGCAGTAACAGTATTTGCAAGGAAGGGTTACCGTGAAAATTAAGTACGTTCATATTCTTTAAATGCTCAGAAGAATGCCTGGTACAGCGAAAACCCTCAGTACACTGAGGCTTTTATCAGTAGTAGTACTGTTTCTCCTACTTAACCACCAGTGAAGGCGAGAGTGGGTAACAGCAACCTGCTTGCCGGAGGAGGCTTCACAACACGTGAAACTGATGAGATAGGTTGAAACTGACACTTGGAAAATGTGTCATAATTCTTCCCGTAATTGTCTGCCTCACACACAACTCTGCTCAAATGAAAATCCGCTCTCATGCACGGGTCCCGCTGAGCAGGGTTTCGTGCCACGCGAGGCAGACCAAGAAAAATCCACACAGTTAAGCATGGTTGAAAAGCAAACTAATTCCAGGTGGATGTTAAGTGCGGCAGCGTGACGCCAAGTTCTGAGCGCTGCGGGGAACAGTGGACAAGGTGGGCGACAGCACCTGGGTGTCGGCGTGAAGAGGACAGAGAGGGGACGGGTGTTGAAGGAGAAGTCTTCAGTCCTAGTCGCAGCTGACACACAGAAGCGGGGAGCTGAAAGGATGCTAAATGCTCTTCCAGAAGAGTCTGAAACCTTGTGCCCCTACCAGCCCTGGTGCCTCTCCGCCCCCGTCAAAAAATATAGTTTCTGCCGAGAGGAAAAAGGGAAAGAGTGTCGAGAGAGGAATAGGATTTAGTTCGATTTTTAAGTGTTTGGTTTGGCAGCAAATGGCAACTTTGTGCTGATGCCCACCTGCATCCCAAGTTGCGAGGAATGGATAAAAGATACAGACTCGACCAACTGGACCGTCCATCTAAAGGGACCCATCTCCAACTGCCTAATTCCTACACGGGCTAGAGAGTGTTTTCCTGGGTTACGAGAGAGGAGCAGCAGAACAGGATCTGTTCTGTTTTTATTTTTCTGATATTATCTTCATTTGGAAGATGGCGGTCATAGGCGCCCTTACGTTGCCATGACGACTGAAGACAGCCATACGAAGCTATTAGCCCAGGGCCCAGCACATGCACAGGAGCCTTTTGGGGAAAATGACACAAAGAATTCTTCCACTCACCTCCTCCCGATTCCCTGGTCCCCATGGAGCTTAACCTGTTATTGAATTTACAACCAGGCGAAGAATGCAGATTTCCACAGAAGAAGTCCATGTGCCCTGAAATCACCAAGGGCTTAAACATTTGTCACCAACGTGTACATTTTATTCCGGCCTGCAGCCTTTCCTCCAGCCTGCCCGAGAGTGCTCTCCTCCAAGGCCCGTTTCCACAGACCGCAGGCGGGCATGACCCTTCGCCTGCTCTCTCTTTATGGGCAAGTTTGGAACTGTTAAAAACGAGGCAGCAAGCCCCAAATGGAGTCACTTATGGTAAATCCCACGTTAGTGAACCAAGACTTAATATCAAACCTAATTGCAGTTTCACCTACCCTGGAACGTAACATTTAACCAGTTTCCACGGAATTACCTGTCCGCACTCAGTGAAATACTGCACCAGAGAGATCTCTCCCATTTCCCTCAGGAAGGTGAGCTTGCCTACAACAATTCACTCTTTGCCCATAATTACCTTTTCCGCCCCCTTTCCACCTTTAAAAACCTTTTCTTTTCTACAGCCTGGCAGAGCTCCTTTCCATTGCTCGGTGGGACGCCGCCCGACTTGCGAACTGCTGAATAAAGCCAATTTGATCTCTGAAATCACTCAGCTGAATTTCTGTTATTTAACAGAGTGCAGAGCGTTTTTATCACGGCTTCCTTTCTGAATTGAGAATGGATCATAAAACAGGTTTGTTTTTATTCCTGCTTTACATCCATCCTGAAGAAGCATCATGATACAGATTTGTGTTTTCAAAAGGAAACTCTGCTGCTCTAGCTGGGCAGATCCTCTGAAGGAGACAATCTCAGGAGTCCGCTGTTTATTCTCCCTCATTCCACGGCTTACGAGCTGAGCCCAAGCCAGCCGTGGGACGGGGTCAGAGGGACAGATCTGGAGGCCCGGGTCACACATGGCGCAATGGAGAGGTGGTAATTCTCCTTACAGAGGACAGTAAATGAATCGCAAGAAGCTGGTTGACCCTTAGCCAAGGAGCGTGTCTAGCTGTTTAACAGAGAGCCGGGCGCTGCACTTCCGCGCTCGGTCCTCTGACTCGTGGGCAACTCGGGCCTTCTGTGCTGGGGAAGGGAAACTCGCTACGCCTGCACAATGGCTACGCAAGCAGAGATCGGGGATGGTTTCACGTCTTCTCCGGACTCAGGCAGCCCCGCCTTCATCTGCGGGAAAGCGTCACATTTTATGACGGGGATCCATGTCTAAAAGACGACACGGGTAAAAAGTGAACTTAAAAGATCGACCTACTTTTCTACGAAACAAACAGCAAACATCAGAGACAAAGGAGTGAGCCTCAAGCAGGGACGCCGACACAAGAATATTTGAGGGAAACACCTGCCTGAGGAAATTATGAAGATAATTTACTCAAAAATTTGGAGAAAAATGTCACTAACCTTCAATTATTCAAACGCTATTCAAAGGGAATTCACAGAACTTTAAATCCTATCAGTGATAATATCACTTAATATCAAATGAAATAAAATTTGGTGGTGGGGAAGTGCATTTTTCTGAAGTAAAAAAAAAGCAAATGATTCTCAAGTTAAAAATTGCTTAGCAGCAGAATTTACATGTAATCAATATTGTTACAGAACTAATTTTATCTATTTATTATAAAAGGCTCAGCTGAAAATTTCTGGGCAAAGGACGATTAGCAAAAGATCAACTTAGATATTTCTATAGACTATAATACTATCCTTGCCTTACTTCTTGTTTCTGTACAGCTGAAGTTGCTGTAATCCATATTTTTTATTCTAATTAATTAGTTTTTTTTTTTTTTTTTAAGAGACACAGAGAGAGGGTGTGTACACACACCTGGGAGGTAGCAGGTAGGGGTGGAGGAAGAGAGAATCCCAAGCAGGCTCCAACCTCAGCATCTAGCCCAACAGAGGGCTGGATCTCAGGACCCTGAGCTCGTGACCTGAGCCAATATCCAGAGTCGGACCCTTAACCGACGGAGCCACCCAGGTGCCCCTAATCCTTATTTTTTCTCTCCATGTTTGAAGGGCCATCAGACATGAGAGCTACTAAATCAAAATTTATGTTGTTCATATCAGAATTAATACTCAAAGGAATGGCCTAAAAATTTTAATACTGAAATTCAATTTTGGGTGCAGGTCTACTTCAAAACAGGAACAGAAATCTTTTTCCATCATAGGATCACCGTGAGACTTAAGTAATCTACTTAAGTCGCTTAGCAGAGCACCTGTGTAATATTCAAGAGTTATTAATGTCACGATTGCTAATCGATACTATTATTTTGTTCAGAATCATTTTTATATCAGTAGAAAGCACCTTCAAATTCCTAAGCAAATATAAAATAAAGGATGTTTTGTCAACCTTGGATGGTGACTTCTCCCAAAACTGATTGGGAAACTTTCTTCAGTGTTCCCTCTTGCTGGGGTGAGGCCATCTTCTCAGAAATAACAGTCTGAGCTTCGGGACTGGATGACCCTGACTATCCTTTAAACACAAAACTAGGAAAACCCACCTTAGTTCAGTTGTACTTGGGCTCTACACTGTCTGTTTCCTGGAGAGGGAAGTATTAGTACTTTATTTCAGTATTTGGTTTGCCCATTGGCTATTTCTTTTACAGCTGCCTCCACCGGAAAAATGGAAGAACAGAATTTCCGTGCCCAAAGGGTAGCATTTTAAGAAGAAAAACAGGACAATGGTGGAAACTGGGAGGCAAATGGTGATCAGCTGGAAGCTGACAGTACAAATACCCTGTTACCCTCTCTCAGGTTTATCCTGTGTAGCGATGTCTTTCTTTACAAGTTATGGCCCTTGTGTCGGTCTACACATCCACACTCTCTTTCCCGTAAGAAACACAGTATAATTCACTTGGTAATTTCAGGGATCTGAACATTAAGAGTTCAACCGAAGTTCTGTATGGGCCACGTGGCATGTGTGATTGACCTGCCCGTCCTCCATGCCCCCCAAGGGTCGAGACCTTCCAGCCACCAGCTGACTAGTGGGAAGAAGCTGGTTTGCCATCCTCGAGGGATCACCCCGACAGAAATAAATACATGAAAACTACAGACGGTTCAAGTGTATCTTCAAGACATTTGAAATGACTTATTTGCCAAGAGGAGGTAACACTGTCATGTGAAGATTTACTCGAGGAATAACACAAATGATCACTGTTCTAAAACATACGGTCTACGCTGAATTGATGTTTTCCGCTGTCTCATAGAGTATGTGATCTCATGCTGAACAGTTCAGTCTGGATAACATAAACCACATAGCAACCCGTCTGCAGAATCTGGGGGTAGCATCTGAATTATAAGAGTCCTGAAACCATGCCGCGTTTGGGGGAAGGTGACTCTGTCAAGGAAAGGGTTCTCATTTCATAGTAAAAGGAGGGGAGCCTATTAAAACTTCCAGTGAAAAATAATCAGTGCTGTATTTTCTCTCCTACACCCTGGCAGAGCGGCCCACGCGCATTACGGAGCAGGGAGCTTTGATGCCGACGTGGCTCTGAGTTTACGAAGCGCGGAAAGCTTACCTGTCCCAGCGACTGCCACTCCAAGCCGGCGCTGCCGATGTAGACATGCTGTTTGTCCACGATCCAGAAGGAGGACTGGAGCCGGCCCTTGTTGTAGGCGGTCATGTTCATGTAGGTCACCTCTGCTCCTGGGGGGTTCAAGGAGATCCTGGTCAGCCTCAGGGTCAGGCCTTGAACTTGCAACCAGACATGGCAACAACGCTCATGATTTGCAGTGATCGCAGCTGGCATTCAGGCCGGCCCAACGTTTGCATTAGTTTGGTGCACAGAAGGCCCTCGAGAACTTATTTTGTTCTCAAAGGAAAACGAAAGGAAAATAAGGAGAATTACAGGGACACTTGTGCAGAGGAGGCTGGAGTCAAGAAGCAAGAACACGGCCTCTCCAGTCAGATGGGATTCAAATCCCAGCTCCACCGCCGGCCTCCCAGTTGGGGAGATCCGTGCACCAAACTCTTCTAGTTTTGCAGTCATTCTCATACAAATTTGCAATCAGTCAAGGATCATCCTGTTTAGTATCATAACTCTCCTCAGCAAAAAACCAGCTATCTTGTGCTTTTCTATGCGCTATTTTCACCCTTGACCCTGCAGTGGCTTTTCCTTCCTCATTTTCCCTTTTCGTGACTTTGAACTTGGCCTCCTCCTGCCCTTTCTTTATCTGATGGTTCTTAATTTAAGCAACGATTATTCAAGCCTTACGAAAATCAGCTGTCATGCTGTTACCTATTCCTGCCTCAGAACAATGCACGTACCACTTCTCAAAAAGAGCATATTGTCCACAGAATGCAATTACACCTATTTACTGGTTGTTTTTCTATTTGAGTGTAGTTGAAACAATGTTAGCTTCAGGCTTACAACACAGTGATCCAAAAGGTCTACACCTGATGTCCTGCGCCCCACCAGTCAACATGTCACCAACGCTGTTCCAACACCACTGACTCTTCCCTCTGCTGTGCCTTTAATTCCCATGACTTAATGGGTCATTAATGACTTAATGACTTAGTCATTCCATAACTGGAAGCCTGAATGCAGTTAAACTTAAAGAAATGCAATCGGATTTAGATTTTTTTTTTTTTTTTTAAGAGAAGTGGTCAGAAGGGGCAGAGGGAGAGGGAGAGAATCTTAAGCAGGTTCCGTACTCAGCATGGAGCCCAATGTGGGACTTGATCTCACGACCCTGAGACCACAACCTGAGCTGAAATCAAGAGTCAAGACACTTTGCCAACTGAGCCACCCAGATGCTCCTTAAAGAAATTCTAAATTTCCACATCTTTAAAAGAACAGGACTATATGCGTATTTTTAATGAAGCAAGCTACTTTGTTTTCAGATGCTGGATATTAATGATGCGGATATATTCTGGTGGCCTACTTCATCGTCAGGATCTTCATTAGCAGGGGAAGACGGAACATCGTATGCATAAAGGTATATTCCAGAACACCAGAAAGGAAGAGTGGTGTGTACTCTGCGCTTAATCTGTTCCTCTTGGGAAAAGAAAGGTAAAGCATGCACCTGGCCCTGTGGCAGGGGGATGGCAACAGAGGCGGTGGGGCGGGAGCAGGACGGAGGGGAAGAGAGTGCGCAGGTGGGTGGCCTCAGCCTCCAGCCATGCAGGCATCGTCTCATCCAGGGAGGGTTACGGGGAGGAGGAGCAGTTGGGGAGAGCATGGTCCGAATGGCCACAGTGGGTGGTGGCCATGGCAATTATGGAGAGATCCACATCTCTGCGGATGCTGTGGTATCCCCCGTGTCCCCCAAGCACACAGCTGCCAGCGCCCATGAGTGGACGGAGAAGAGCATGTGTCTTGGGGACGTGACATTTCCCATGGCCACTCTAACAAAGTATCACAAACTGAATGGCTTGGAACAAAAAAAGGTGATTGTCTCTCAGTCCCGGAGGTTGGTAGTCCATAATCGAGGTGTTGGCAAGGGCCATCCTTCCCACGAAACCTGCAGGGGGGACTCCCTCCCGTGTCTCCCCAGCTTCTGGTGAATCTCTGCTGTCCCCTGACTGGCAGCTGCTCTCCTGCCACCTCCACCCATTGTCCCATGGAGGCATGCCCTGTGTCTGTTTTTCCTGAGCTTACAAGGACACTAGTCCTGTTGGACCAGGGACCACCCCACTACCGTGGGCCCTCATCTTAACTAATTACATCTCCAAAAACCCTGTTTCCAAATAAGGTCACATTCTGAAGGACTAGGGGTTAGGCCTTTAGCACGTCTTTTTTGGGGGGACATAATTCAATCCACCAACAGAGCTCGAGGCCACATTCGCTGGCTGTGCCCTTCAGCCCACTAGGCTGAGCAGCACTGAGGGAAGCATCTTCTCATCTCTGGAACGAAGATAATGCAGGGGACCCCGGTGCGTGCCTCAGACTGTACCCACGACAGGGGTCTCCGGGCAAGCCTTCGCCTACCTTCACATTCGGACTAGAAACAACTTCATCCCTCTGTGAGGCTGGCTGGCTCTCGCCTCCTGGCCTGGGACACTGGGCCTGAAATTTGACCCACAAAGTTGGGTCAAAACACAAACCTGGCATTGGATTGTGTTTTAGTTCTTAGATCCCTGTGCTCTCATTCGGGTCTGCTGCAGCCCAGCCTGCTGGTCCCCTAGAGGGAACACCGAGCCATCTGAGGGGCCCACGGGGACCGTCCCTTCTGACCTCTCTGTACCACACTGCACAGCCGTGGCCCTAAAGGTACTGTGCCACTTTACTTGGAAGTTTAGCCTAAACAATGTGATTTCAGCGACCATGGATGGGGCTTGTGTGATGCTCTAGCCAGAGCCTCTACAGTTACGTACTGATGCCTACAATTATCTATGAAGGCCCAGCTTCCCTTCAGCAAACCTTTACTATCTAATATATCCCAGCTACTATGATATGTGAAATTAGGAACGCAAGACCTCAAGTGGCTGAGCCAAGTTCAGGCACACAATTATTTTGTGCAATTTTTTAAAGATTTTATGAATTTGTTTGAGAGAGAGAGAGAGAGAGACAGAGATAATGAGAGAGAGCAAGCGTACACAAGTGGGGAGAAGAGGGAGAGGCAGGTTCCCCACTGAGCAGAGAGCCTGATGCGGGCTCAATCACAGAACCCTGGGATCATGACCTGAGCCAAATCCAGAAGTTTAACTGACTGAGCCACCCAGGGGCCCCTAAAGAGTAATATTTAAAATGACTGGGATTGTTGGGACACCTGGATGCCTCAGTCAGTTAAGCAACCGACTTTTGGTTTTGTCTGTTTTCACGATCCCAGGGTTGTGAGACTGAGCCCCGCATCGGGCTTCACGCTGGGCACGGCTCCTGCTCAGGATTCAGGATTCTCTCCCTCTGTCCCCCTCTTAAAAAAAAAAAAAAGAAAGAAAGAAAAGATTGGGATTGTTCAGACAGTGTGAGAGCAGTGAGTATCCGAAAGGTCAGGAGGGAACTCTAAGGCGGGGCCAAGGGCACAAAAGACACAAGTGGCTTCACAGTTCTGCTGGGGCTGGGACCAGCTGCTGGAAGGTCTGCTGAGCTGGGTGCAGGGATGACTAAGCAACATACAGTAACGGTAACGACCCTTTGCTCAACACCATGTGTGCCCGGCGCCAACACAGCTGTGCTGGGGCAGCCCCTCAGGCGGTGTCGTATTTTCCCCATTTCAAGGACAAACCCCTGGGCGTGGCGTCATCAGTCAACGGAAACTGTCCGACGGCGCACGGTCTGTGGAGCATCACTTTCCCGTGAAGAACGCTGTTTTCTGTCAGTCTATCCTCCATCTGTCTCTGAAGACATATGCTCTTATCCTAGTTTATACCTAGTAGGTACGTTGTCATAGCCAACATGTCCCTGTTTATTACATGCATATTATTCAATGTTTAGCCTAACAATTTATTTTACAGGCACTTAAGAAATATTTTTGTTGATTGGTCACAGAGATTAGCCTCATTCTACTCTCTTTTTATACGTGTTAGAAAGATACGGTTAAAATTCAATGTTTCTGGATGATAAAATATAATCACTCGAGTTTTTAAAGATTTTATTTATTTACTTATTTGACAGACACACAGAGAGAAAGCGCACAAGCAGGCAGAGTGGCAGGCAGAGGCAGAGAGAGAAGCAGGCTCCCTGCCAAGCAAGGAGCCCAATTCGGGACTTGATCCCAGAACCCTGGAATCATGACCTGAGCCGAAGGCAGAGGCTTAACTGATTGAACCACCCAGGGGCCCATCACTAGAGTTTTTAATGTACCACTCGTGTGGGGCAGTATTATGGGCACAAACTATATCTGAGTTTATTCCCTAGGGCTGTGCTAGAGAATTCTAACTCTACAGATTTAATTTAATTCTAATTTTAAAGACTTATTTGTTTGAGAGAGAGAGAGAGAGAGCGCACACACTCGAGTGGGGAGGAGGCACAGGAGAAGATCGTCATCAAGCAATCAAGCAGAATCCCCTCTGAGGACAGAACCCAGTACAGGGTCCACAATCCATGAAAACTTATGACCTGAGTGGAAACCAAGGGTCCTGACACTCAACCGACTGAACCACTCAGGTGCCCCACTGCTAGAATAATGGGCAAGGATGGTCACTCATGTTATGAAGCTGCCCTTTAAATATTACAGACGAACAAGATCACAGAATATCTTTAAAGGCTCGCTTGACCCAAAGAAATACATCTTCTTCAACAGCATCGAAAAGTTTTTGCTTTCTTAGATTCGATTTTAAGAGGGCAGACTACTCCTTCAGCCTGTTTGCAGTCCGTGACCTACTGTGCCGAGGCCCCAGGATGCCAAAGAGATGCTCATCACAGGACCTGTGGCCCACGAGGACCACTGGCTGGTGGCGGGGTCTGAATCTCCGAGACCCTCCCATTTCAGTTCCATCATCTATTTGTTTAACCGATGGTTCGCAGGACTTATTACCAACTCCAAAGAGTGTTTCCAGATGCCCAAAGTGATGAATCAAGAATATGCACTTGTTTCTATAGTTGCTTATGAAATACTTCCCTGATATCTAAGAGGTCCAGTTAAGTCTTAAAAAAAGCTACCAGGGGCGCCTGGGTGGCCTAGTGGGTTAAAGCCTCTGTCTTCAGCTCAGGTCATGATCCCAGGGTCCTGGGATCGAGCCCCGCATCGGGCTCTCTGCTCAAC